TTTTTTTTTTCTTTTCTTTTTTGACTTCATCTTCTCCCCCTCCTCCTTCTTACCACCACCACTACTATCACTACCATATTGTCTTTTACACAGTTTAACAGTCAAGAGGGAACTACAATAACAACAAAAACAACAAAAAGAAAAAAGCAGCAAAAGAAAAATAAAATCTGTTTATTCCATAAAAAGCCACTCTGCCTAAAATACTACACTAACACCATTAGCTCAAGTGTTAAACTGTAATTTTCAACGAATCAAATTACTTATCAACAAATTTGCTAAAATATTTTTCTAACTTAAAGTCTTAGAAAAAGTGTATTTCCCCCTCCTCTCTAAATTTACGATTCCGTTTCAACAAGTATCAACAAGATCCAAATTTTTCAGAGGAACGTTACTTCATCAAAAACGATTCACAAAACACGATATCATCAACAAGATCAGCAACATTCCTAAATTACAATCGCAAATATGTAATCCAAATTCTCTAATTCGATCGTTTGACCAATTCTACTGTATCTTTCAACCCAAAAAATATTCCTCAAATTTTGGATGACAACAAAACGGCAAATTAACAGAACAGCCAAACAAAACTACCAACATTACAAAGGAAAAAAATTTTTTTTTCCTCTAAGTTTTAAAGTCCATTTACACTGCAGTAACCTTTACAAACAGCAAAAAGGAGGTGAAAAAAAAAAACATAGCGAAAAAAAAGGAAAATAAACTAAAAGAATGAGGAGAAGAGGAAAATGGTGATGACTACAACTACAACTACTACCAAATTGACAACGACAACAGTTACGATGACGATGGCAACGAAGAGGTAATTTTCAGCTATCAGCAGGGTTTTTTTTCTTTGTTAACTTTGAACAATCAACAACGACAATAACAATCATCGCAGCAAAGAGCTAAGGCTAAGGCAAAAAAAAAAAGTAAGAGAGAAAAAAAACATCATCATCATCGAAAAAAAAAATTGAATTACCGAGTAAAATAACCCCATTCTCAGTGCTGCCTAAATCTATCATCAGTTTTTAAGAGGCCAACTTATGTACGCAATTTTCTTTTTCTGTACTTTTCAC